TGTGTGCCAGTCCTGATCCTTGTCCACTGGTTTCTCATACAGGCAATAGTGGTCTTTGAGCCACAGTCTAGAACACCCTGTTGAGGACTTCTCTACTGATAAGGAAGCTCTGGGTAGGAGATCAGGCCACCAGAGGCACAGCTGCATCAGTGAGAGGAGCTGGTGAGGTCCTGTCTTGCTCCCCTCCCCTCAGTGCCTGTGTGTCCACCCTGTCCAGTATTCCCCATGCTGTGCATGTGAATGCCATCTAGCTGCCCAAGGATAGTTCTGCTTATGGTGTCACTTTGAGCTGCTTCCCTCCCTACTTCTGATTGTTTCTCAAGTTTTCCACATCATGTCCTGTCATCATTCTCCAATTAAACCACTTACCTCTATCTCCCAGATTTCCCTGTGCCCCACATAAGCTAAAACTCACATCTTCCTCTACCTGTAGCTGCTGGACCATACATTTTTGAAGCGATGGGGATGGTTCTCACTATCTATCCACCAGCTCTTGAATCCTATGCTCACTGAACTGATAAGTCAGCTGAGTGTTTTGATGGGGATCATTACAGATGCTTGCCCCATTGTTCTTAGTAAATAATCTTTAATATTTGATTGGTGTTGATGTTTAGTCCTTAAAATCATTGCTCTTGTTGTATATTAATTGTGCAAATAGTAAATTTTCTCTAGATATTATCATACTGTATATGGGGTTCAATGGCCTTAGGTTCTTTGCTTTGTCTTTGTGATTACCCATGCGAATCCCTCCCATTGGCTTACTTCATTCTCCAAATGGTCTCCTTGAACTTTAATATCTATTTGTTTTACAAAGATTAAATATAAGAGAAAAAATAAATACTTTTCTTGCTGAGTCTATCTCATTCCATTTAACATAACAATTACCAGTTCCAAACTTTTCCTACAAACTCATGACATCATTCTTATGAATGTCTGATTAATACTGCATTGAGCACATGCACCACACTCCCCTTGTATTTTAACCACAGAAGGGCCCTCAGGATGACTCCATGACTTGGCTCTTGTGAATAGTCCTTCAATAGATATGAGCATGCAGGTGTCTCCATCCTATGTTGCCTGATTCCTTCATATACATATATATATGTATATATACATATATATATATATATATATATATATATATGGAGTGGTGCTTTAGCTGCATCATGAGTGAATTTTATATTTATTTTGTCAGGAAATTACATGCTTATTAGTATAATTAATAAACAAATTCACACCCACCAACAGTGTAAGGGATCTCCTTTCTTACCCATTATTAGTTTTCTTGACAGAGTCATTCTGACTATGCTGAAATGGAAGCTTTGTTTAGTTTTGATTTGAAATATCCTGATGGTGACAACATTGAATACTATCAATGTAATGTTAGCCATTTGGGTTCGTTCAATCTCTACTCCCATTAATTGTCCGCTTTTATGGCTTAGATATTGTGTGTGTGTGTGTGTGTGTGTGTGTGTGTGTGTGTGTGTGTGTGTGTCTGTCTGTCTGTCTGTCTGTCTGTGTCTGTCTGTCTGTCTATGTGTTTGTACTGGAGAGATTCCACTGATCCTTCTGCTTCCTAGGTTAATGTTGTGGTCAAGTTTTCTCCATTTGGCTGTTCATACTTGATAAAGCTAGGATCTTCCTCCAAGATGGCAGCATTTTTGTAATGCATATGTTTCTGGAACTTTTTGCCAAAAGTCAAGATACTGTAGCTAGCCAGCTAATTGGGTAAATTTCTGGGTCTGCTACTCTCTTCTATTGGTTCATGTTTCTGTTTTAGGTGGTGTGTATTTTGTAGTTTTTGTTTGTTTAAACATGCTAGTAAAGATCAGCTCCTCTTGAGCCATCATCTCCCCTGGTAACCCTGCCATTTTTTTTGCATGGCTAGATGTCATAATTTAAGGTATTATATTGTGACACTTCTGAAAATAAACTCACCCTTCAGAAATTCAGGAAAATTTCCTACTCATAATCACACCTATTCCCAACTAAATAACTAAAATAAGCCTGACCAAAGACTTGGAAAATCTCTCTGTGATGAAACTTATAAATGACAGAAGAAAAAAAACTGCCTGTTTTATGGAGTATAGGAAGTAGCAAAATATTTTTCTTTTTTTTTAAATTTAATTTAATTTTATTTGTGAACATACTGTACAGAGGGGTTACAATTACATGGGCAGGATAATGCGTACATTTCTTACCAAGCATTACAGCCTCCTCCTTTGGTTTACCCTTCACATCCCTTCCCAGCCTCCCCCCTCCCCCCCAATCCCAATCCTTCTCCTTCCCCCCCTTCCCCCTCCCCCCCCCCCCCCGCACCGACGTTGTAAAGCTCGTTTTGGACATGACAACTTGTACTTCTCTTTGTTGCAACAGGTCCACCTGTATCCTTAAACAACTGGTTTTTCCCCATCTCCTCCACAAATTATACTGACATCAAATATAGTGAAAGCAGGGGTTATACTGTGGGGGAGGGACATACAAAGCAACAAAGAGATAATCTTATAAATGCGTTAGAAATACATGCATGAAAGAAAAAACATTAAAATACATATCTAAGTGTTCATTTTCCTGACATCACATTATCTGACCTTTTCCGCTTGACTCATACATATACTAGATATTGCAAATAAGGGAAACCATGGGACCTATGTTTCTTTGGGCCTGGCTTACTTCACTTAATATAATTTTTTCCAAGCCTTTCCATTTCCTAACAAATGGGGCAATGTCATTCTTTCTGATGGAGGCATAGAATTCCATTGTGTATATATACCACATTTTCTTGATCCATTCATCTACTGAGGGGCATCTGGGTTGGTTCCATATCTTAGCTATGGTAAATAATGCTGCAATAAACATAGTTGTGCTGGTAGCTTTAGTGTGGTCTTGTTTGTAAACATTTGGGTAAATGCCCAAAAGTGGGATTGCTGGGTCATAGGGGAGCTCTATGTGAAGTCTTTTGAGGAACCTCCATACTGCTTTCCAAAGTGGTTGAACAAGTTTACATTCCCACCAACAATGAAGTAAGGTTCCTTTCTGTCCACATCCCCTCCAGCATCTGTTGTTGTTAAAGTTCTTGATTTTTGCCGTTCTAACTGGGGTGAGGTGATATCTCAATGTTGTTTTGATTTGCATTTCTTTTATGGCTAGGGATGTTGAACATTTCTTCATGTGTCTATTGGCCATCCTTCTTTCTTCTTCAGAGAAGTTTCTCTTTAAGTCTTTCGCCCACTTATTTATTGGGCAGTTGTTTCTTTGAGGATTTGTTGTTGGGGGGTTTAATTTTTTGAGTTCCAAGTATATTTTAGATATGAGACCCTTGTCCGTTGTATGGCTAGTAAAGATCTTCTCCCAATCCGTGGGCTTTCTATTGATCTTGCTAGCCATGTCATTTGCCCTGCAGAAGCTCTGCAACTTTATGCAATCCCATTTGCCCAACCTTTCTTTGATTTGTTGTGTTTCCGGGTCTCTATTCAAAAAATTTCGGCCTGAGCCAAGGAGACCTAAGGTTTCTCCTATTCCATCCTGTAATGTTTTCAGAGTGTCTGCTTTGAGTTCAAGGTCTTTGATCCATTTGGAGTTGATTCTGGTGCAGGGTGATATATAAGGATCTAGCTTTAGTTTTCTACATGTAGTTAACCAATTTTGCCAGCACCATTTACTGAAGAGGCTGTCTTTCTTAAAATATTTTTCTTTTAGCAAAAGTAATCCTGTAGCTAATTAAGTAGGTATTTTTGCACCTTTCCACATTTACTGTGTCTCCCCTATAAATAATTATAATAACATTTCATTTTGTGTGCTCTATCATAATTCTTCTTACTTTGTAGGTTTGATTTTTCTTTTGTGTCTCTTTTTATTTTTGAAACTCAAAAACTGGTCAGAATAATATGATAATCCTCTTGAATAATAAAACAGGAGTGGCTTGTTTATTGATAGGGCTGAGAAGCTCAATAGAGAGCTACAATGTTGTGTGTGAATATAATAATAAGACAGAAGAATAATGTGGCTAACAGGTGCTAGCTGGTCAGTATGGGGAAATCCTAGAGTTGCGAATGTCTTGTCAAAACCCAGAAAGAATTGCTGAGGGTGGAGTGAAGATGGTCCTCAGGTCACAGCACAATTCCTCCAAAACAAAAACAAAAATAGTCAAACAAAAAGCACAAGGGACACAAAAACACTGTGTCAAAGGCTGAAGCAGTAAGTTCACAGTTCATGACTATTCTTTCGAGGACAGCAGAGCTCTGCAGCCCACATTCTCATGAGGGGAACTAAAATAAAGAAAATAAAAAGAAACAAAGAAATACAGATGCTTTTCAATTAAAAATTTCAGCCAGAATTACTCTATTTCTCCAGAGTTACTCTATTTCTCCAGTTAGTTTATTCTTCCAGAAAGAGTCTAGGAAATGGATCCTGACTCACAGTGGAGGAACATGTCCTCATGGCCTTCCTGGAACCATGCCGATGGCCTCTCACATGCAAACCTTCCTGTCCACCTGACCTGATGAAGGGCTCATTAGATTCATTCTAGTGAAGCTTTAGCCTCCTGGGTCACCACACACAAACATGGGCCTATAACAATCTTGATCAGCTAAAAATAGGTAGAATGTACCTTGTAAAGTGCAATGGAAGCATATCATAAGGAGACACTAGCAGCCATGTGATGGCTCTTTAAGGAACTAGATCAAGACACACACACTTAAGAGAAGAGATGGTTCTCATGGAACATACTGACAATTGAATTTCAACACACCAGAAAAATGGCATCATGTTTTCCTTCTCACTTGAAAATTTAAGCAGAAAAATACTAATTTGGTATTTAAAAATCCCAATTTGATAACCACCCATTTGTTAAACTAAACAACCACAAGGAAAGAATGCTACATGTGATGGATCACAATGCTCCTTAGCAGGGTATAAAGGAGCAAGTGGGACAGAAAGTCTTCCAAACTGTTCAAACACATCTCCTGCACACCCACCCAGAACCTCCATCCTCTGACACCATGGTCAACTCCTGCTGTGGCTGCACCTGCTGCCAGCCCTGCTGCTGTCAGCCCAGCTGCTGCCAGACCACCTGCTGCAGGACCACCTGCTGCCGCCCCAGCTGCTGTGTGTCCAGCTGCTGCCAACCCTGCTGCTGTCAGCCTTGTTGCTGCCAGCCCTGCTGCTGCCAGCCCACCTGCTGCAGGACCACCTGCTGCCGCCCCAGCTGCTGCACTGATTCCTGCTGCTGAGCACTCTTCTCCCTTCTCCTGGTCTTAAGCTGCCAACATTTATGAGGTAGAAATCTGCAAGGATCATGCAAAGCCAACTGTAAACCTCTGTTCCTACTAGCATTGTATAAGCCACCAAATACTGAGATCTTTCTCCCATCCTTATCAACTTCTCTTCCAAATGAACTCGAGTTGGAATTTTCCTTGAAATTGGTCAACTATCTTCTTACCTTCTCAAATGCTGTTATTCCTACATCCTCAATAAATGTGAATACATGCAAATATAAAAACATTATGTTGCATTTGTCTCCTTCTTCAATTGTTGTTCAAATATGTAGCTCATCTCCAAACAATAAAAATCTCATGGCCGGGCATTCTGGCTGTGGCAGCTCTTGTCTCTTCTATTGTTCCCTCGCTAGGACTCCTAGAACTCTCTGCTGCAGACAACTTCCTCTACTGAGGATAAAGTCCTAAGCAGGAGCTAAGGTCCAGGGGGCAGAGCTCCAATAGTGACTGACAGGAGATGGTGATCCCCTGTCCTGCTCACCTCCCATTCAGTGCCTGTGTGTCCACCTGTCCAGTGTTCCACAAGGAATGTAATCCAGCCACCCCAGGAGAATTCTCCATAGGTTATTCATTGGTAATTTTTGTGCCCTTATTTTCAAATAGTTTCCAATTTTCCTACATCTTGCCATGATATCATTCATCAACTAAACTACTTACTTCAACCATTTAGGTCTGGCTATGTCCAGAGTGCACACAATCGAATCTCACATCTTCCTCACCTAATTGTTCTTGACTTTCATACATATTCAAATGATGTGGATGGGGGTCATTATCTAGGCATAAGGGTTGGGTTCTATGCTCACTAAAGTGAGACGTCTTCTGAATATTTTGATGGGGAACATTTCAGATGGTTGCCCAATTGTTCTTAGGTCAATAGTCTTTACTCTTTCATACCTGTTGCTGTTTATCCATTGGTGCAAATTAATTGTGCACATAATAAGTTTTCATTAGACATTATCATACATGTATATAAGGTTCTATGGCCTTAGTTTCCTTGATTTGTGCTTGTGATTACTCATGCTAATACCTCCGAATGGATTACTTCATTCTCTAAAATGCCTCTGTTTACTTTCTTCTTTAATAAATTCAACATAAGAGAAAAAGTAATTAAAACTACTTTCTCTGAGTGTATCTTATTTCACTCAATACAATTATTGCTGCCATGAATTTTTTCTACCAATTCATGACATCATGCTTGTAAATTTTTCAATAATACTCCATTGAGAATATATACCACATTCCCTTATTTTTTCATCATTGATAGGCCCACAGGATGACTTGGCTCTTATGAATGGTCCTGTAATCAATACAAGCACCACAAATATATTCCTGTATATATGCATATATATAAATATGTGTGTGATGTGCATATGTGTGTGACAGGAAGACTTCCAAATATTTCAACCACATCTCCTTGCACACCCACCCAGAACCTCCATTCTCTGACACAAGGTCAACTCCTGCTGTGGCTACAACTACATATATATATAAATATATATATATTTATATAAATATATATTTACATATAAATATAAATTTATATTTATATGTATATAAATATAAATATATATTTACATATTCAGGTGCTTTAACTGGATTATTTATAAGTTCTATATTTATATATTTAATGAACCTCTATAGTTATTATTACAAGAGATGAACAAATTCACATTCCCACCAATAGTGTATGGCATCTCTTTTCTTTCCCAGGGTCATCACTTACTCTGTGAGTTATCTTAATGGCAGTCATTCTGACTGTGGGAATCTCAATGTAGTTTTGATTTAATAATCTCTGATAGTATGGTATTTTGACCAGTTTCTATATAATGTTAGCCATAGTGTTTGTTTAATGTCTATTCGGTTCATTGAGCAATTTCATGGTTTGGAATTTATATATATTTGTGCCAGAGAGTGAACACTGATCCTCCTGTTTCCTAGGGTAATGTTCTTGGGGTCAAGTTTTCTCCTTTCGGGTGTTCATTTTTCTGGTCACACTAGATAAAGCTAGTATCTTCTTCCAATATAGTAGCACTTCTATAATGCACATGCTTCTGGAACTTCCTGCCAAGGATAAGGATAGTATAGCTACCTAGCTAGTTGGATAAATTTCTGAGTTCTCTATTTTATTTCATTGCTCCATGCTTCTGTTTTAGGTGGTGTGCATTTTATTTGTTTTGTTTGTTTTATCTTGCTGAGCCATCTCTCCAGGTGATCAGGCTATTTTTGTTCAAAGAGCTAGATCATATATTTTTAAGTTTTATATGTTAATATTCCAAAAATAATTCACCAGGAATAAAAAATAATTAATTTCATGAATCCCCAAATAAATAACTAAAATAAACTTAATCAAAGGCCTCAAAAATCCATGTGATGAAACTCATAAATAACATGAGAAACTAAAGAAGACATCTACAGGTTGGAAATCTATACCATGTTCATGGATCAGCAAAATTAACAGATGAAAAAGGCCAGATGATGAAAAGCATCTCATTATATAATGCAATCCCCATCAATTCCAGTGACATTCTCCACAGAATTACATGAAGAAGCCCTTAAATGAGCAAGGAATCATTGAAGATCCTGAATAGCCAAAACAATCTTAGGCAAATGCCACAATGATTTATTGCTGTTTTCAATATCAATAAGTCTAGCTTTTGAGGAAAATTGCCTTGGTAAGGGCTGGTGTGAAAATGGGTACATTACATAAGGATACATGCATCAAGGTGTCAGGAGAAGAGTCATCCTAGCAGGCAACCAACTGTATACCAAGTTCTCTGACTAACTGCTTTAGGAACTGTATTGTCTCTACATTGCTCTCCTCTGAGAATGTGCTCTGCCTTCTTACCTGTGGGGAAAATCGTCTTTCACTCTCTAAGGAAACCTGAAGCCTTTTTTAGGTCTTTCTAGTCCACTCTGTCTCATCTTACCTACTAAATCCAGTGAAAAATCTCTTTACACAGGATGTGATTTTATTTTTATTTTTTCCCATTCTTTTTTTTTATTGTAAAATACTGTACAAGGGGTTACAATTACATGAGCAAGGTAATGAGTACCTTTCTTTTTTTTTTTTTTTTAATTTTTCCCTTCCCAGCCTCCCCCCTCCCCCACACCCAATCATGCCCCCCTCCCCCCCCCCCCCCCCCACCGACATTGTAAAGCTGGTTTTGACATGACATTTTGTACTTCTCATTGTTGCAACAGGTCCACCTGAATCCTTAAACGACTTGTTTGTCCCCGTCTCCTCCACATGTTATACTGACATCAAATATAGTGAAAGCAGGGGTTACACTGTGGGGGAGGGACATACAAAGCAACAAAGAAATAATCTTATAAATGCGTTAGAAACACATGCATGAAAGAAACAAAAACATTAAAATACATATTTGAGGGTTCGTTTTCCTAACATCACATTCTCTGACTTTTTCCGCTTGACTCATACCTATACTAGATATTGCAAATAAGGGAAACCATGGGAGGATGTGATTTTAAATACTTTATGTTCTTCACCTTTACCAGCACCAACTTGTGAATAAAATATACACATCAAACATTTGACTAGAAATTTACTATGATAAAAAGAATGCCTATCTGGGGCTGGGAAGTGCTTGTCTTGCATTCATGAGGCCCTGGGTTCGATTCCTCAGCACCACATAAACAGAAAAAGCCGGAAGTGACTATGTGGCTCACGTAGTAGAGTGCTAGCCTTGAGCTGAAGAGCTGAGGGACAGCGCCCAAGCCCAGAGTTCAGGTCCCACGGCTGACGAAAAAAAAAAAGTACAAATCATTTTTGTATTTAAATGTTGTTTATTAAGACATTTATTTGTGCCCTCACAAACATCACAAACGTGTCTCCTTCTGCCTGCATTATGACATAAAAGAATTTCCTTCATTTAGAAGAACTAGTCATATACCTAATTAAAAGGGCATTTTCATTTTTCATCATCTACCTTACAAACATGCTATAATAATAGTTCATTCTTCTGTCCTATCTTATTCCTTTTTGCTTTTCAGACTCTTTTTTCTCTTTTTTGCCTCTTTTTATTTTTCACAACTGAAAAACGATAACATAATGATCTTCTTGAACACTGAAGCAGGAATGTTTGATGAGTTGACAGACTGTGAAAAGCTCAAAGAAGACAACAGAAAAATGTGACAGCTACCTTGTGCCAGCAGGTAAATATTGGACAGGGTTTCAGATGCTTTGTAAAAAAAAAAAAAAAAAAGCAGAAAGCTGGCTGAGGGTGTGGTACAGGTGGTCGAGCATTACTGAGCAAGTATGAGGTCCTCAGTTCACAGCACAATCCCCCAATACAAAAACCAAAAAATTCAAATAAAACCCACAAATGACATATAAACCTTATGTCAAAAATCGGAGGACAAATTCGTACTATAATATTAACAGCAATCTTTCAGGAAGAGCAAAGCTCTGCAGCTCAGTTTCTCACAAAAGGAACAAAAATAATTAGAGATTTGGTTCTGTGTAGAAAAAATATGAAGCAAAGATATATGCATGTTTTTAACTAAGCTTTTCACCCAGAGTTAGTTCCACTCTTCCCATAAAACATCTAGAAAATGGATCCCGACTCACAGTGGAGGAAGGAACATGTCCCCCTGGCCTCTCACATGCAAACCTTCCTCCCTACCTGACCTGATGAAGCACTCATCAGATTCTAGGGAGGCTTTAGCCACACACAAATATGGCTCTATAACATTCTGGAATATCTAAGAGTTGATGGAATGTACCATGTGAAATGCTACTGAGACATATCATAAGGAGACACTGGCTGTCACATGACTGCTCTTTGAGGAACGATACCAAGATGCATACACACACTTAGGAGATAGTTCTCCCTGAGCTAACTGACAGGGGAATTCCAAACCAGAAAAATGGCATCATGTTTTTTCTTCCCACTAGAAAACTTAATCAGGAATAGACAGTGTCCTAATTACCTGCTTGTTAAACTAAATAACCACAAGGAAAGAACACTACATGTGATCACACTTGCTCCTTAACAGGGTATAAAAGAGCAAGTGGAACAGGGAGCCTTCCAAACTGTTCAAACACATCTCCTTGCACACCCACCCAGAACCTCCATCCTCTGATACCATGGTCAACTCCTGCTGTGGCTGCACCTGCTGCCAGCCCAGCTGCTGTCAGCCCTGCTGCCAGCCCTGCTGCCAGCCCTGCTGCTGCCAACCCTGCTGCTGTCAGCCCTGCTGCTGCCCCAGCTGCTGCCAGACCACCTGCTGCAGGACCACCTGCTGCAGGACCACCTGCTGCCAACCCAGCTGCTGCACTGATTCCTGCTGCTGAGCACTCTGTCCTGCACCCTCCTGCCCTTCAGTAGGCAGCATTATTGATGTAGTCCTTCTCTGAGCTCAATCATGGGAGACTACTTGTAAACCTCATTTCCCCTGGGGTCTGTGTGGGCCTCCAAATGCACTGTCCTACTCCGTCCTTGGCAGCTTACTCTCTTTTCAAAATGAATCCAAATTGGAATTTTTCATGAAATCTCTGAACTATCTTGTCACCTTCTCCAATGCTGTTATTCCTACATCATCAATAAAAGAGAAAAAAAGCAAATATAAAAGCAGAGTGTCTCTTTATTTTTTCCTTCTTCAACTGCTGTTCAGATATGTAGCTCATCTCCAAAACTCACATAGCAGATCATGCTGTGTGTGCTAGCTCTCATCCTTGTCCACTGGTTTCTCATACAGGCCTGGTAGTCTTGAGCCACAGCCTAGAATACTCTGCTCAGAACTTCCTCTCCTGAAAAGGAAGCTCTGGGCAGGAGCCCAGGCCCCTCAGGGGCACAGCTGCAGCAGTGAGAGGAGCTGGTGAGGTCTTGTTATGCTCCCCTCCCCTCAGTGCCTGTGTGTCCACCCTGTCCAGTGTTCCCCTTGCTGTCAATGTGAATGCCATCCAGCTGCCCAAGAAGAGTTCTGCTTATGGTGTCACTTGGAACTGCTTCCCTCCCTACTCCTGATTGTTTCTCCAGTTTTCCACATCTTGTCCTGTCATCATGCCCCAAGTAAACTACTTACCTCAAACCCCAGTCTTTCCCTGTGCCCTCAAGTCCACATAAGGTAAAATTTGCATCTTCTTCATCTAAGTGCCACTGCTTGTCCGTATATTTTTTAAGCGATGGGGATGGTTCTCATTATCTAGACACCAGCTCTTGGATCCTATGCTCACTGAACTCATAAGTCTGCTGAATATTTTGATTTGGATTCTTTCAGCTCTTAGCCTAATTGTTCTTAGATAAATAATGTTTAGTCTTTCATTGTTGTTGATGCTTGACTTTTTAAAGTTTTTCCTTTGGTGTATATTAATTGTGCAAATAGTAAATTTTCTTTAGATATTATCATACATGTATATGGGGTTCTATGACATTAAGTTCTTTGATTTATCCTTGTGTTTACCCATACTTACTCCCCTCGTATTTATTTACTTCATTCTCTAATAGGCTTCTTTTTATTTTCATATCTTTTTTTAAGATGCAGCATAAGAGAAAAAACATTAAATCCTTGTTTTTCTGAGTCTATCTTGTTTCACTTAACATGATATTTGCCATTTCAAACAATTTTCCTATAAACTCATGACATCATGCTTCTGAATGTTTGAATAATATTGCCCTGAGCACTTGTACCACAGTTATGGCTCTTTTTTCACTAGTAATTGGCCCCCAGGATAACTCCATGACTTGACTCTTCTGAATAGTCCTGCAATAGATAGGAACATGCAGATGTCTCCATTCTTTTTTTCCTGATTCCTTCATATATATATATATATATATATATATATATATATATGAGTGGTTTATATATATATATATATATATATATATATATATGAGTGGTTTAGCTGATCATGTGTGAAATCTACATTTCTATATTTGAGGAAGTAATGTTCATTAGTATAATAAATGAACTAATTAATATCCCCCCAATTGTGTGTGGGGTCTCCTGTTTTACCCAGGATTCTCACTAACTCTATTAGCCACTTTGACTGTGGAATCTTTGTGTAGATTTTGTTTGAAAATCTCTGATGTAACGTAACTCATGCGTTCCTTCAATGTCTATGCATTCATTGCTTATTTTTATTGACTGGAACTATATATATATATATACATATTATTTATGAACACTGCACCTCCTGTTTCCTAGGCTGGTGCTGTTGTGGTCAAGTTTTCTACATTTGGATGTTCATTTTTCTGGCAATTCTTGATAAAGCTAGTATCTTCTTCCAAGTTCTAGCACTTCTGTAAAGCAGAAGTTTTGGGGACTTTCTGCCAAGAATCAAGGTACTGTAGCTAGCCAGCTGAATGGATAAATTTCCAGGTCTTATATGCGATTCCATTGTTCCATGTGTACCACCTGGTATGTATTTTATTGTTTTTGTTTGTTTTAACTTGCTAGGAAAGAGCTGTACCACTTGAGCCATATCCCTGATACGTTTTTATTAACATGGCTAGGTGACATTATTTAAGTATTATATTGTGATTCTCCAAAAATAAATCCACTCATGAGAAACACCAGGAAAATTTCCTATTTATAATTGCATGTGTTCTCAAATAAATAACTAAAATAAACCTAACCAAAGACCTGGAAAAGCTCTGTAATAAAGCTTATAAACAAGAGAAGACTGAAACCGCCGGGGTTTTTTGTTTGTTTATTGTTTTGCCAGTCCTGGGGCTTGAATTCAGGGCCTGGGCCTGGACATTGTCCCTGAGTTTCTTTTGATGAAGGCAAGCACTTGAGGCACAGCTCCACTTCTGTTTGTTTGTTTGTTTGTTTTTTCTGTTTATGTGGTACTGAGGAACCAGGGCTTCATGCATGCTAGTCCAGCACTCTACCATTAAGCCACATTTCCAGGCACACAACTGTCTGTTTTATGACAGATAAGGGGCTAGGACAATTTCCTTAGAAAAACTAATCATACAGCTAATTAGATGGGCATTTTTGCACCTTTTAGCATTTACTGTGTCTACTACATAAATATATTATAATAACATTTAATTTTGTGTGTTCCAAAAATAATTCTTTTTTTAGTCTTCTGTTACCTTTTTGGCCTTTCCTAGTTTTTAAAATGGAAAACCTGGAGAGGAATAATATAATACTCCTCTTGAATAAAGAAGTAGGAGTGTCTTGTTTATTGATAGGGCTGAGAAGCTCAATGGAGATCTGGTATGTTATCTAGATATAAAAATAAGACAGAAGAATAATGCAACATCTAACTTGCTTTAGCAGGTAAATATTGTATAATCACAGGATTCCAGATGTCTTGTTAAAACCTTGAAAGAGGGGGCTGAGGGTATGGCTCAAGTGGTAGAGCATTACTGAAGCAAACAAAAATCACAAAGGACACAAAAAGCATGGTGTCAAAGACTGAAGGACAACAAGTTCACAGCATAATATTACAGGGAATCAATCTTTACAGACAGCAGAGATCTGCAGCCCACTTTTCCATAAGAGGAACTAAATATTATTTAGCAATTTGATTCAGATAAGAAAAAAGAAAAGAAGCAAAGATATATCAAGACCTTTCAATTATTTTTTCACCCAGAGTTAACCTATTTTTCCCTATAAAGCTTTGAAAATGGATCCTGACTCACAGTGGAGAAAGGAACATGTCCTCATGGCCTTCTTGGCTCCATGCTGCTGGCCTCTCATGTAAACCTTCCTCCCCACCTGACCTGATGAAGTACTCATTAGATTCACCACATACAAATATGGCTGTATAAAATCTTGATAGCTAAAAGACTCAATGTACCATGTAAATGCCATTGAAGCCTATCGTAAGGAGACACTGGCTGTCACATGACAGCTCTTAGACCAAGATACACACATTTACGAGATGGTTCTCCAAGAAATGACAGGTGAATTCCAAAACCCCAGAAAAATGGAATCCGGTTTTCCTTCCCACTTCAAAATTTAATCAGGAAAAAACACAGCCTAATTTCATAACCATCATTTGTTAACCTACACAACTATAAGGAAACAATGCCACATGTGATGGATCACATGTGCTCCTTAGCAGGGTATAAAAGAGCAAGTGGGACAGAGAGCCTTCCAAACTGTTCATACACATCTCCTTGCACACCCATCCAGAACCTCCATCCTCTAACACCATGGTCAACTCCTGCTGTGGCTGCACCTGCTGCCAGCCCTGCTGCTGCCAGCCCATCTGCTGCCAGACCACCTGCTGCAGGACCACCAGCTGCCGCCCCAGCTGCTGTGTGTCCAGCTGCTGCAGGCCCTGCTGCTGTCAGCCCTGTTGCTGCCAACCCAGCTGCTGCCAGACCACCTGCTGCAGGAACACCTGCTGCCGCCACAGCTGCTGCACTGATTCCTGCTGCTGAGCACTCTGTCCTTCCTTTTCCTGGTCTTAAGCTGCCAACATTTATGAGGTAGATATCTGCAAGCTGATCATGAAAGACCAACTATAAACTCCACTGGGGTCTGTGTGGGCCTCCAAATACATGGCTCCCAACCCCCAGTCCTTGTCAGCTTACCATCTCTCTTCAAAATAAACCCAAGTTGGAATTTTCCATGAAATCTGTCAACACTCTAGTTACTTTCTCCAATGCTGTTACTCCTACATCATCAATAAATGTGAACAAATGCAAATATAAAAGCATTATGTCTCTATTTTTCCTTCTTCAATTGTTCAGATCAATATGTAGCTCATCTCCTAACAATAAAAATCCCTTGGCAGGGCATTCTGGATGTGCCAGTTCGGGTCTTTCCTATTGTTCCCTCAAAAAAAGACCATGGTTGCCTAGAGTCAGAGAGTTGAATCTCTGCTGAGGACTTCCACTATTGATGAGAAAGCTCTATCCAGGAGATAAGCTCCCACAAGTAGAGCTCCAATAATGACAGGAGCTGGTGAGGCCTGTCCTGCTCACCTGTCCTTCAGTGCTCATGTGTCCACCATATCCAGTGTACACAGGCTGTCCGTGGGAACGTAATCCAGCTACCCAAGGAGAATTTTCCATATGGCATTTCTTGGTAATGTATCCCCCCTTACTCTCAATTATTTTCCAAATTTCCTACATCTTGTGCCATTATCATTCCCCAATAAACAACTTACTCCCCAGTTTTTCTATATCCCAGAGTTCACACAAACTAAGACTTACATCTTCCTCATCTAAGAGTTGCTAATTTTCCACACACTTTTGGAACAGTTGGGATGGTGATCATTATCTAGGCATCAGTGCTTTGATCCTGTGAGAACTCTTCTGAATATTTTGATGTATATTCTTTCAGATGTTTGCTCAATTTTTTTCTTAGATCAATATAGCTAGGAAGAAAGTCCACGGATGGGGAGAAGATCTTCACTAGCCATACAACAGATAAGGTTCTCATATCTAAAATATACTTGGAACTCAAAAAATGGAATCCCCCAACAACAAATGCTCAAAGAAACAACTGCCTGATAAATAAGTAGGCTAAAGACTTAAAGAGAAACTTCTCTGAAGAGGAAATAAGAATGGCCAATAGACACATGAAGAAATGCTCAACCTCTCTAGCCATAAAAGAAATGCAAAACAAAACAACATTCCACCTCACTCCAGTTAGAATGGCTATAATCAAGAACTCTAATAACCATAGATGCTGGAGGGGATGTGGACAGAAGGGAACCCTACTGCATTGTTGGTGGGATGTTCCTCAAAAGACTCCAAATAGAGCTCCCACTTTTGGGCATTTACTCAAGTGATCACAAACAAGACCATACTAAAGCTACCAGCACAACTACGTCTATTGCGGCATTACTTACCATAGCTAAGATATGGAACCAGCCCATATGCCCCTAGGTAGATGAATGGATCAAGAAAATGTGATATATACACAATTGAATTCTATGCCTCTATCCGAAAGAATGACATTGCCTCATTTGTTAGTAAATGGAAAGACTTGGAAAAAATTATATTAAGTGAAGTAAGCCAGGTGCAAAGAAACATAGGTCTTATGGTTACCCCTACTTGCAATAACTAGTATATCTCTGGGACAAGCAGAAAAAGTAGAAAGTTATGTACATATGACCAGATAAGATGATGTTAAGCAAAATGAACCACAATATAGGGACACAAGTGGCTTTTTCTTTCTTGCTATTGTTTCTAATGTATTTATAATGTACCATGTGATTTTTTTTGCTTTGTATGTTCCTCCCCAATGGTTATAACCTCTGTTTTCACTGTATTTGATATCGGTCTAATTTGGGGAGGAGAAGGGAAAAAACAAAATGTTTAAATAGGGATATAAGTTAACCCATTGTAACAATGAGATGTACAAGACACTGTTGAACAATGAACTTTACAATTTAGGTGCAGGGGTGGGGAGGGAGGCAGCAAGAGGGGAGGCTGGGGGGGGGGAGTGTAGTCATGGAAGTGGGAGGGAAGGGATGGTAGGGGGAAAAAAAGGAGGAGGCAACAATTCTTGATAAGAAATGTACTCATTACCTTGCTCATGTAACTGTAACCCCTCTGTACAGTATTTTCACAATTAAAAACTTATTTAAAAAGTCTTTAGTCTTTCATTGCTGTTGATGTTTCATTGTCTTTGATGTTTTCCATTTGTATATATTAATTGTGCAAAGAACAAATATTGTTAACACATTATCATACATGTATATGGGGTTCTTTGACCTAAGGTTCTTTGATTTATCCATGTGATTACCCATGCGAATCTCTCCCATTGGTTTGCTGCATTCTCTATCAGGCCTCTTTTTACTTTCACAACTTTTTTTTTTTAGAAATTCAAAATACAACAAAAATCATTCAAGACTTGTCTTTCTGAGTATATCTTATGTCACTTAACATGATAATTAGCACTTCCAAGAATTTTCCCACAAAGTCATGATATCATTCTTCTGAGTGGCTGAATAATTCTCCATTGAGTATATGTACCCCATTTTGGTTCTTTTTTCACCATCAATGACTCCATGACTTGGTCTTGTCAATGGTCCTGCAATATGAGCATGCTGGTGTCTCAATTTATGCCTGATTTCTTCAGGCATATATATAGATATATTGACATCTAACATCTATCTATCTATCTATCTATCGATCTATTGATCAATCAATTTCCTTTCTTTTCCAGGACCATCACTATCTCTGTTACTTTTTTAATGGCAGCCATTCTGACTGTGGAGACATGTAATCTTGACTTGGAAGTCTCTGATAATGAAGGATATTGAACAGTTTCCATGTCATGTTAGCCATTGTGTACACTTGAATGCCAATTTTTTGGATTGAATATACTGGAGGGTGAACAGTGAGCCTCCTGTTTCCTAGGGTATTATTGAATCACTTAAGGCCCTGAACAGCCAAAATATCTTGGACAAAAAACACACTTTTAATATCAATAAATCTAGCTCTTGAGAGAAATGGCCTTGGTAAAAGGTTGGTATGAAAACACATACTTTGCTTAAGGATGGCATCAGAGAGTCAGTGGAGAAAACTCATTCTAGCAGGCAACCAACTGTATGTCAAACACTCTGGCAAACTACCTTAGGAACTGTATTGTTTATACATTGCTTTACACTCACAATGCGCTTTGCCATTTTACCTGTGGGGAAAAACTTCCTTTCATCTCTAAGAAAACCTGAAGCCTTTCCTCTATATCTCTCTGGTTTCCTCTGTCTCACCTTACCTACTAAATCCAGTAAAAATCTCTTTATATAGAGCATATGGTTTTAAATAGTTCATATATTCAGCTTTAATGGCACAAACATATGAATAAAAGTATACAAATCAAGTATTTGATGAGTAATTTACCGTGTTAAAAAGTGTAAGGATTTTTGTATTTAAATACTCTTTGTTGAGACATTTAATCATGCACACCTTCTGCTTTATGACACTCAAGGGGCTAGCAAAATCCATTTCTTTTTTTTGGGGGGGGTCCGGTGGTGGGGCCTGAACTCTGGGCTTGGGCGCTGTCCCTCAGCTCTTCAGCTCAAGGCTAGCACTCTACCACTTGAGTCACAGCACCATTTCCAGCTTTTTTCTTTTTGCTTATGTGGTGCTGAGGAATCAAACCCAGGGCCTCATGCATGCAAGGCAAGCACTCTACCACTGAGCCACCTTCCCACCTCCTCTATTTCTTTTTGAAGAACTAGCCATAGAATTAATTAAAAGGGCATTTTTTACCTTCCAGCATTTACTGTATCTACTCTATAAATACACTATAACAAAATTACATTTTGTGTGTTCTATCATATTTCTTTTTGCTTTTTAGGCTCATTTGTTTTCTCTCTTTGCCTTTAAAAAATTTTTAACAACTGAAAACTTGGATGAACAAGATAATATAATAATCCTCTTGAAAAATGAAGCAGGAGAGTCTTGTCAAATGATAGGACTGAGACACTCCAATAAGACAGAAGAACAATGTGACAGCTAACTGGTACAAGCAGGTACCAGTTAGAAAAAGACACGATTCTACATGCCTTGCCAAAATCTAGAAAGAGTGGGCTGAAGGTGAGGCTCAAGAGGATTACTTGGCATGTATGTGGTCCTCAGTGCACAGCATAATCCCACCAAAAAGAAATGCAAAGAATCAAACAAAAAACACAAATGGCACAAAAAACACCATGTCAAAAATTGAAGGACAACAAGTTCACACAATAGTATTAATGAGAATCTTTCAGGGACAGCAGAACACTGCAGTCCACTTTCTCATAAAAGGAACTAAAATATTTAGAGATTTGCATCAGATAAAAATAAGGAGCAAAGACATATGCATGTTTTTTATTTAAGCATTTCATGAGGAGTTAGTTGTATTCTTCCCATAAAATGTCTAGGAAATAGATCCTGACTTACATGGGGCCTTCCTGGACCCATGCTGCTGGCCTCTCTCATGCAAACCTTCCTCTCCACCTGACTTGATGAAGAACTCATTAGATTCTAGTGAGGCTTTAGCCTCCTGGGTCACCACACACAACTATGGGCCTCTAACAATCTTGTATACCTAAGATTACATGGAATGTGTCACATAAAATGAGACTGAAGCATATCCTAAGTAGACACTGGCTGTCACATGACATCTCTTTGAGGAACTACATCAAGATACACACACTTAGGAGATGGTTGTCTCTGAACTGTCAGGGGAATTCCAACACACTAGAAAAATGACTTCATGTTTTCCTTCTCACTTGAAAATTTAATCAGGAAAATATAGTGGCCTAATTTGAGAACCACCTATTTGTTAACCTAAACAACCACAAGGAAAGAATGCTACATGTGATGGATCACACTTGCTCCTGAGCAGGGTATAAAAGAGCAAGTGGGACAGAGAGCCTTCCAAACTGTTCACACACATCTCCTTGCACACCCACCCAGAACCTCCATCCTCTGACACCATGGTCAACTCCTGCTGTGGCTGCACCTGCTGCCAGCCCTGCTGCTGCCAGCCCAGCTGCTGCCAGACCACCTGCTGCAGGCCCTGCTGCTGCCGCCCCAGCTGCTGTGTGTCCAGCTGCTGCCAGCCCTGCTGCTGCCAGCCCAGCTGCTGCCAGACCACCTGCTGCAAGACCACCTGCTGCCGCCCCAGCTGTTGCCGCCCCAGCTGCTGCACTGATTCCTGCTGCTAAGCACTCTGTCCTGCACCCTCCTGCCCTTCAGTAGGCAGCTTTATTGATGTAGTCCTTCTCTGAGCTCAATCATGGGAGACTACCTGTAAACCTCAGTTCCCTCTGGGTCTGTGTGGGCCTCCAAATGCACTGTCCCCCTCAGTCCTTGGCAGTTTTCTATCTCTCTTCAAAGTGAACCCAAGTTTAAAATTCCAATGAAATTTTGTTACCTGCTCAAATACTGTTATTCCTGTATCATCAATAAAAGCAAATACGTGCAAATATAAAAACATTATATCTCTTTATTTTCTCTTCTTCAATTGTTATTCAAATCAATATGTAGCTCATTTTTAAATATAAATCTCATGGCAGGGCATTCTGGGTGTGCAAGCTCTGGTCTTTCTTATTGCTCCCTCAAAATAAACCATAGTTGCCTAAAGCTAGAACCTTGAGCTCTCTGCTGAGGACTTCCTCTATTGAAGAGAAAGTTGTAGGAGGAGCTCAGGCCCCCAGGGACACAACTACAACAGTGATGGGAGCTGGTGATCCCTGTCCTGCTTACCACCCCTCAGTTCCCATGTGTCCATTGTGTCCAGTGTACACAGGCTGTCCGTGGGAACGTAATCCAGCTGCCCAAGGAGAATTCTCCATATGGCATATCTTGGTAATGTGTCCTCCCTTACTCTCAATTATTTCCCATTTCCTACATTTTGTCCTGTCATCATTCCACATCGACTACTTAACCTCCATCTCCTAGGTTACCTTGTGCCCCAGGGTACACACAAGCTAAGACTCATATCTTCCTCATCTAAATATTGCTGATTTTCAATACACTTTTCAAACAATTGGAATGGTGGTCATTATCTAGGCATCAGCGCTTGGATTCTTTATTTGTACCTTTTTATTTGTTAAGGTGACAAGCAGAGAGGAGTTCTGTTACAGAAGTAAGAAAATGAGTACATTTCTTGTCAACCTTGTTACCCCTTCCCTCAATTTTCTCCTATTTTCCCTCTCACTCCAAGTTGTGCAGATTGTTTCCAACATAGTCTTGTGTATATATTGCTGTTACACTTGCTCCCCCTTGTCCTTTGTCTCACTCTTCTGTTGTTCCCTTTCTCTTCCCTATTTGAAAGGTACCAGGGTACCAAAATCAAATACAGTAACCCAGAGGATATACCATAAGGGGAAGAATATACAATAGAAACAAAAATAATCACATAGTATATTTAAAACAACAACAACAAAATCTTCTTGTGTCCATGTCTTGGAGTTCATTTCCCCTAGCATCATCTTATACTTTCATATGTACATAAGTATTGAGCTGTTCTGCTCATCTGCTAAGATTATCCTGTCTAGGATATACTAATTATTGGATACTATGCTCACTAAAGTGAGAAGTCTTCTGAATATTTTGATATGGATCATTTCTGATGTGTGTCCAATTGTTCTTAGAGCAATAGTATTTTGACTTTCATTACTGTTATTGTTTAGTAGTCATTGATGTTTCATTATCCATATGCACACAGTATGACTCTGTAACTTGGATCTTGTCAATAGTCCTGCAATAGATATGAGTATGTAGGTGTCTCAATTTAATACTTTTCAATTATATATATGCCTGGTTCCTTCACACACACACACACACACACACACACACACACACACACACACACACACATTCATATGTATGCAAGAGTGTTTTAGATGGAATGTATGTGAGATCTATACTTATATATTTGAGGAAATTGTATGCTTATTAGTACAATGAAGGAACTAATTCAAATCTCCACCAACAATGTATGAGTCTCTTTCTTTCCCAGGACCCTCACTATATCTGCTAGCTTTCTTGATGGCAGCCATTCTGACTGGTGAAATGTTGTCTTGATGTTGTTTTGATTTGGAAATTCTGATAGTGAAGGATATTGAACAGTTTCCATGCAATATTAGCCATTTGTGTTCACTATATACTTGATTGCCCATTTTTTTGGACTGGATATACTGGAAAGTGAACACTGAACCTTTTGTTTCCTAGGGTAGTATTGTTATTGGTCAAGTTTTCTACAACTGGATGTTCATTTTTCTGGCCATCCTTGAGAAAGCTAGTTCCTAACTCCAAGAGGATGTAAGAACTCTGCAACCTACTTTCTCTCAAGAGAAACTAAAATATTATCTAGAGAGTTGATTCAGATAAAGAAAATATAAAGAAACAAAGACATATAGATGTTTCTAAATTAAAATTTTCACCCAGAGTTAGTCTATTCTTCCAGAAAGAGTCTAGGAAGTGGATCCTGACTCACAGTGGAGGAAGGAACATGTCCTTATGGCCTTCCTGGCGCCATGCCGCTGGCCTCTCACATGCAAACCTTCCTCCCCACCTGACCTGATGAAGGACTCATTAGATTCTAGTGAGGCTTTAGCCTCCTGGGTCACCACACATAAATATGAGCCTATAAAATCTTGAATGCCTAAGAGTAGACACAGTGTACCATGTAAAATAAGATTGATGCATATCATAATGATACACTGTTGTCACATGACAGCTCTTTGAGGAACTACATCAAGATACACACACTTAGGAGATGGTTCTCTGTGAACTGACAGGGGAATTCCAACACACCAGAAAAATAGCACCACATTTTCCTTCCCACTTGAAAATTTAATCAGTAAAATATAGTGGCCTAATTTGAGAACCTAAACACCCACAAGGAAAGAATGCTACATGTGATAGATCACAATGCTCCTTAGCAGGGTATAAAAGAGCATGTGGGACAGAGAGCCCTCCAAACTGTTCAAACACATCTCCTTGCACACCCACCCAGAACCTTCATCCTCTGACACCATGGTCAACTCCTGCTGTGGCTGCACCTGCTGCCAGCCCTGCTGCTGTCAGCCCAGCTGCTGCCAGACCACCTGCTGCCGCCCCAGCTGCTGCACTGATTCCTGCTGCTGCAGGCCCTGCTGTCAGCCTTGCTGCTGCCAGCCCAGCTGCTGCCAGACCACCTGCTGCAGGACCACTTGCTGCCGCCCCAGCTGCTGCACTGATTCCTGCTGCTGAGCACTCTGATCCTTCTTCCTGATCATAGGAGGCCAACTGTAAACCTATTCCCTTTGGGGTCTGTGTGGACCTCTAAATACACTGACCCCTTACTCCCATTCCTTGTTCAGGTTATCATCTCTCTTCAAAATAAACTCAAGTTAGAATTTTTCATGAATCTATCAACTATGTATTTACCTTCTCAAATGAGGTTATTCCTATATCATCAATAAATGTGAATATATGCAAATACAAAAGCATTATGTTGCTTTACTTTTTCCAATTGTTCAAATATATAGCTCATCTCCAAACAATAAAAATCCCATGTCAGGGCATTCTGGGTGTGCCAGCTTGGGTCTTTCCTATTGTTCCCTCAAATATAGACCATGGTTGCCTGGAGGCAGAGCCTAGAACTCTCTCCTGAAGTCTTCCTCTATTGAAGAGAGAGCACAAGCCAGAAGATCAGATCCCAGGAAACAGAGCTCCAATAATGACAGGAACTCGTGAGGCCTGTCCTGCTTCCCTCTCCTTCAGTGCTCATGTGTCCACTCTGTCCAGTGTACACAGGCTGTCTGTGGGAACATAATCCAGCTTCCCAAGGAGAATTCTCCATAGGACATTCCTTGATAGTGCATTCTCCCTTGCTCTCAATTATTTCCCAAGTTTCCTACATCTTGTCCTCTCATCATCCCCAAATAAAGTATTTACTTCAATCTCTTGGGTCTGGCTATGCACCAGAAGGCACACAATCTAATCTCACATCTTCCTCATTTTCATGTTTTTGGTTTTTCCATACATTGTTCAACAATAGGGATGATTCTCAACTATGCCTCAGCTGTTGGATTCTATGCTCACTAAAGTGAGAAATGTTCTGATTATTTTGATGTAGATCATTTTAGATGTTTGTCCAATTGTTCTTAGATCAATAGTTTTTACTTTCATTTTAGTTAATGTTTAATTGTCATTGATGTTTGTTATCAGTATATATTAATTGTATAAATAGTAAATATGCATAAGACATGATCAGATATGTATATGACCTTAGGTTGTTTGACTTGTCCTTGTGATTACTTAATCCCTTTAATCTCCTCCCAATGGTTAACTTTATTCTTGAAAATGTTTCTTTTTATTTTCATATCATTTTCTTTTAAAGATTCAACTTATGACAAAAAATTTAATACTTATCTTTCTGAGTCTATCTTATTTCATTCAACATGACAATTACCACTTCAATCAATTTTCCTATGAAGTCATGACATCATTCTTCTGAATGTCCGAGTAATGCTGCATTGAGCACATGCAAAAAGTGTTGGTTCTTTTTTTTTTTTATACCATCAATGGGCACCCAGGATGGCTCCATGACTTGGCGATTGTGATTAGTTTGGCAATAGATGCGGGTGTCTCCATTCTGTGCTGCCTGATTCCTTGAGGTATTTATATGTATGCAAGAGTGCTTTAGTTGGATTTTATGTGAGTTCTATATTTATATATTTGAGGAAATTGTATGCTTCTTAGTAAAATGAATGAACGAATTCAAATTCCCACCAATGGTGTGTGGGGTCTTCTGTCTTTCCAATGATCCTCACTAACACTGTGAGTTTCTTGACAGCAGCCATTCTGACTGTGATGAAATGGAATTTTGTGTAGTTTCTAGTTGAAAATCCTCAATGGTGAAGGCATTGAACACTTTCCATGTAATGTTATTTGTTTGTGTTCCTTCAATGTCTATGCATTAATTGTTCATTTTTAACTGCTGCAAAATATAATGCATATGTATATATTTATACATTTCTACTAGAGTGAATACTGAGCCTCCTGTTTCCTAGGGTAGTGTTGTTGTGGTCAGGTTTTCTACATTTGGGTGTCCATTTCCCTGGCCATATTTGATAAAGCTAGTATCTTCCTCCAACTTAGTGGCTCTTCTGTAATGCATGTGTTTCTGGAACTTTTGCCAAGAATCAAGATACTGTAGCTGATTGGGTAAATTTCCAGGTCCTGTTCCATGTTTATGTTTGGGTGGCTGTGTGTATTTTATTGTTTTTGCTTGTTTTAGCTTGCTAGGAAAGAGCTATACTACGTCAGCCATCTCCGCTGGTGTCTAGAATGGTTTCGCTAACATAGCTAAGAAACATAATTTCAGGTGTTTTATTGTGATACTTCCAAAAATAAATTCACCATCGAAAGAAACCAGGAAAATTTCCTATTCATAATCTCATCTGTACACAAATAAATAACTAAAATAAACCTCACCAAAGACCTGGAAAATCTTTTTGATGAAACTAAGAAACAACAGAAGAAAGCAATTTACAGTTTGATGACACATAGAGGGTAGCAGAATTTCCTTCTTTCAGAAAAACTAATCCTATAGCTAAGTAGATGGGTATTTTAGCACCTTTTTATATTTATTGTGTCTTCTCTCTAAATATAATTTGCGTGTCCTATCATAATTCCTTTTGCTTTATAGGCTTCTGTTTGTTTGTTTGTTTTTGGTCTCTCTTTATTTTTGCAATTGAAAACCTGAACAGCAAAGTCTTGTTTATTGATAGGGATGAGAAGCTCAAAAGAGATCTGTCATTTTGTGTGCAAATAAAAATAAAACAGAAGAATGATGTGACATCTAACTTGCAATAGCAGGTAAATATTGGAAAATCACAAGATTCTAGATGTCAAAAAAAGAATAGGCTGAGGGTGTGGCTCACGTGGTAGAGCATTACTGAGCAAGTGTATGGTCCTCAATTCACAGCACAATCCCTCCAAAACAACAAAAAAAATCAAACAAAAAGCACAAAGGACATAAAAACAGTATGCTGAAGACTGAGGGCAATGAGTTCATAGTACAACACGAAGGGAAATCTTCAGAGGACAGCAGAGCTCTGCAACCCACTTTCTCACAAGGGGAACTAAAATGTTATTTAGAGAGTTGATTCAGATAAGGAAAATATAAAGAAACAAAGACATATAGATGTTTCTAAATTAAAATTTTCACCCAGAGTTAGTCTATTCTTCCAGAGAGTCTAGGAAATGGATCCTGACTCACAGTGGAGGAAGGAACATGTCCTTATGGCCTTCCTGGCGCCATGTTGCTGGCCTCTCACATGCAAACCTTCCTCCCCACCTGACCTGATGAAGGACTCATTAGATTCTAGTGAGGCTTTAGCCTGCTGGGTCATCACACACAACTATGGGCCTATAAAAATCTTGAATACCTAAGAATAGACAAAATGTACCATGTAAAATGAGACTGAAGCATATGCTAAGGAGACACTGGCTGTTATATGATGACTCTTTGAGGAACTACATCAAGACACACACACTTAGGAGATGGTTCTCCATGAACTGACAGGTGAATTCCAACATGCCAGAAAAACAGCATCATGTTTCCTTCCCACTTAAAAATTTAATCAGGAAAATATAGTGGCCTAACTTGAGAACCTAAACACCCACAAGGAAAGAATGCTACATGTGATGGATCACAGTGCTCCTTAGCAGGGTATAAAAGAGCATGTGGGACAGAGAGGCTTCCAAACTGTTCAACCATATCTCCCTGCACCCCCACCCAGAACCTCCATCCTCTGACACCATGGTCAACTCCTGCTGTGGCTGCACCTGCTGCCAGCCCTGCTGCTGTCAGCCCAGCTGCTGCCAGACCACCTGCTGCAGGACCACCTGCTGCCACCCCAGCTGCTGTGTGTCCAGCTGCTGCCAGCCCTGCTGCTGCCAGCCCTGCTGCTCTCAGACCACCTACTGCTGCCCCAGCTGCCGCACTGATTCCTGCTGCTGATCACTCTGTCCTGCACCCTTCTGCCCTTCAGTAGGCAGCATTATTGATGTAGTCCTTCTCCGAACTAAATCATGGGAGACTACCTGTAAACCTCACTTCTCACTGGGGTCTGTGAGGACCTCCAAATGCACTGTCCCCCTCCATCCTTGGCAACTTACTTTCTCTCTTCAAAATGAACTCAAGTTGGAATTTTCCATGTAATCTGTCAGCTGTCTTGTTACCCACATGAAAGTATTTGTTCTGTGACTTGGTTTCTCAAATGCTGTTATTCCTCATCAATAAATTTGGCTTTTTTTCCATCCAATTATAAAAACATTGTGTCTCTTTATTTTTTCTTCTTTAATTGCTGTTCCAATATGTAGCTCACCTCCAAAAAATAAAATTTCCACAGCAAAGCATTCTGGGTATGCCAGCTCTGATCCTTCTCCATGGATCTCTCAAATAGGCCATGGTTGTCTTGCACCAGAGCTTATATCTCTCTGCTGAGGGTTTCATCCATTGGATAGATGGGAGTTCAGGAGTTCAGGCCCCAAGGGGCACAGCTGCAACAGTGAGAGGAGCTAGTGAGGCTCTGTCCTGCTCAGTGCCTATGTGTCCACCCTGTCCAGGGTTCCACATGCTGTCCATGGGAATGCCATCCAGCTGCCCAAAAAGAGTTCTGTTTATGGTGTCATTTTTAACTGCTTCCCTCTCTACTCCTGATTATTTCTCATTTCCCATGTCTTGTCCTGTCATCATGCCCCAAGTAAACTACTTACCTCAAACCTCAGGCTTTCCTTGTGCCCCAGAGTACACACAAGCTAAGAATCACATCTTCTTCATCTAAGTGCAGCTGCTTGTCCATATGTTTTTCAAGTGATGGGGCTGGTTCTCTTTATCTAGGCACAGCTCTTGGATCCTATGCTCACTGAACTCATAAGTCTGCTGAATATTTTGATTTGGATTCTTTTAGCTCTTGGACCAACTGTTCTCAGATAAATAATGTTTAGTCTTTCATTGTTGTTGATGCTTAACTCTTTAAAGCTTTTCCTTTGGTGTATATTAAGTGTGCAAATAGTAAATTTTCTTTAGATATTATCATACATGTATATGGGGTTCTATGACCTTAAGTTCGTTGATTTGTCCTCGTGATTACCCATACTTACTCCCCTCCCATTGATTTATTTCATTCTCTAAAAGGCTTCTTTTTATTTTTCATGTCTTTTTAAAAATATGAAAAAATAAAAACAATACTTGTCTTTCTGAGTCTATCTTATTTCATTCAACATGATATTTACCACTTTAATAATTTTCCTGCAAAGTCATGACACCATTCTTCTGAATGTCTTTTTTTTGGGGGGGGTCCGGTAGTGGGGCCTGAACTCTGGGCCTGGGTGCTGTCCCTCAGCTCTTCAGCTCAAGGCTAGCGCTCTACCACTTGAGCCACAGTGCCACTTCCAGCTTTTTTCTTTTTGCTTATGTGGTCCTGAGGAATTGAACCCAGGGCCTTGAGCATGCAAGGCAAACGCTCTACCACTGAGCCACCTTCCCAGCCCTCTTCTGAATGTCTTAATAACACTGCATTGAGCATATGCACCACATTCTGGTTCTTTTTTCACCATCAATGGGTACCCAGTATGGCTCCATGACCTGGCTCTTATGAATAGTCCTGAAATAGACGCAAGCATGCATCTATTTCTGCATTCTGTGTTTCCTGATTTCTTTACACACACACACACACACACACACACACACATACACACACACACATGTGTATACATATATGCACACACATAAGCAGCAGTACTTTAGTTGGGATCTATATTTATATATTTGAGGAAATTGTATGCTTATTAGTATAATGAATGAGCTAATTCAAATTCCCACCACCAGTGTATGGGTTCTCTTTTCTTTTCAAGGATCCCCACTAACACTGTTAGTTTTCTTGATGACAGCTATTCTGACTGTGGTGAAATGGAATCTTTGTGTAGTTTTGATTTGAAAATCTCTGATGAATACTTTCTATATAATGGTACTCATTGTGTTCATTCAATGCTTATTCACTTCATTGCCCATTTTTATGTATTGGATATATATGTATGTATCCATGTATATGTACACACATTTGTACACTTGTACTGGAGAATGAACAATGAGCCTCCTGTTTCCTAGAGTGGTGGTGTTGTAGTCAAGTTTTCTATATTTGGATGTGCGTATTTCTGGAAATTCTTGATAAAGCTACTTTCTTCCTCCAAATTAGTAGTGCTTCAGTAATGCATGTGTTTCTGGCACTTTTGCCAAGAATCAAGATACTGTAACTAGCCAGCTGATTAGGTAAATTTCTGGGTCCTGTGTTTTATTCCATTGTTCCATGTTTCTGTTTTAGTTGGTGGTGTGTATTTTATTGTTTTTGCTTGTTTTAGCTTGCTAGGAAAGAGCTGTACCATATCAGCAATCTCCCCTGGTGACCAGAATGGTTTCATCAACATGGCTAGGTGACATAATTTCAGGTGGTTTATTGTGATAGTTCCAAAAATAAATTCACCATTGAAGAAAACTTCCTATTCATAATCTCATTTGTATATAAATAACTAAAATAAACCTCACCAAAGACCCGGAAAATCTTTTTGATGAAACTTAGTAACAGTAGAAGAAAGAAATTGCCTGTTTGATGACACATAGGGGGTAGCAGAATTTCCTTCTTTCAGAAAAACTAATCCTATAGGTAATTAGATGGGTATTTTAGCACTTTTCCACATTTATTGTGTCTTCTCTCTAAATATAATAGCATTTCATTTTGTGTGTTCTTCCATCATTCTTTTTGCTTTTTAGGCTTGTGTTTCCTTTTTTTTTTGTCTCTCTTAATTTTTGCAGTTGAAAACCTCAACAGTATAACATAATGATCCTCTTGAATAATGAAGGGGAGTCTGGACTGGGAAGGTTGCTCAGTGGTAGAGTGCTTGACTCACATGCACTAGGCCATGGGTTTGATTCCTCAGCACCACATAAACAGAAAAGTCTGGAAGTGGTGCTGTGGCTCAAGTCGTAGAGCACTAGCTTTGAGCTGAAGAGCTAAGGGACAGCACCCAGGCACAGAGTTCAAATCCCTTGACTGACAAAAAAAAAAAACAAAAACCAAAAACAATAAAAATAAATGAAAGGGAAGTCTTGTTTATTGATAGGGATGAGAAGCTCAGTAGAGATCTATAATGTTGTGTGTGTATATAAGTATAAGACAGAAGAATAACGTGGCATCTAACTTGTGCTAGCAGGTAAATATTGGAAAAATCACAGGATTCCAGATGCCTTGTAGAAAACCATGAAGAGAGGATTTGGGTGTGGCTCAGGTGGTATAGCATTACTGAGCAAGTGTATGGTCCTCAATTCACAGCACAATCCCTCCAAAACAAAAACAAAAAAAAATCAAACAAAAAGCACAAAGAACATAAAAACAGTATGAGGGCAACGAGTTCATAGTACAACATGAAGGGAAATCTTCAGAGGACAGCAGAGCTCTGCAACCCACTTTCTCACAAGGGGAACTAAAATGTTATTTAGAGAGTTGATTCAGATAAAGAAAATATAAAGAAACACAACATATAGATGTTTCTAAATTAAAATTTTCACCCAGAGTTAGTCTATTCTTCCAGAAAGAGTCTAGGAAATGGATCCTGACTCACAGTGGAGGAAGGAAAATGTCCTCATGGCCTTCCTGGTGCCATGCCGCTGGCCTCTCACATGCAAACCTTCCTCCCACATGACCTGATGAAGGACTCATTAGATTCTAGTGAGGCTTTAGCCTCCTGGGTCACCACACACAACTATGGGCCTATAACAATTTTGAATACCTAACAATAGACACAATGTGCCATGTAAAATGAGACTGAAGCATATGCTAAGGAGACAATGGATGTCATGTGATGACTCTAGACCAAACACTCACACTTAGGAGATGGTTCTTCATGAACTGACGGGTGAATTCCAACACGCCAGAAAAACAGCATCATGTTTCCTTCCCACTTGAAAATTTAATCAGGAAAATATAGTGGCCTAATTTGAGAACCACCTGTTTGTAACCTAAACACCCACAAGGAAAGAATGCTACATGTGATGGATCACAATACTCCTTAGCAGGGTATAAAAGAGCAAGTGGGACAGAGAGCCTTTCAAACTGTTCAAACACATCTCCTTGTACATCCACCCAGAACCTCCATCCTCTGACACCATGGTCAACTCCTGCTGTGGCTGCACCTGCTGCCAGCCCTGCTGCTGCCAGCCCAGCTGCTGCCAGCCCAGCTGCTGCCAGACCACCTGCTGCCGCCCCAGCTGCTGTGTGTCCAGCTGCTGCCAACCCTGCTGGCAGCCCTGTTGCTGCCGGACCACCTGCTGCCGGACCACCTGCTGCAGGACCACCTGCTGCCGCCCCAGCTGCTGCACTGATTCTTGCCACTGAGCACTCTGTTCTGCATTCTCCTGTCTTAAGCTACCAACTTTTTGGAAGTAGAAATTTGCAAGCTGATCTTGGGAGGCCCAAGGTGCATACACTTTAGTGGGCATTGTTGTTGGTGACCTCTACATACCTTACCCCTGTCCTTCAGGTTCCCATCTCTCTCCAAGAGCAACTTAACTTGAATTCTTTCTAAAATCTGTCAACAAACTTTCTTGTTACTACTCCTGATATATTCTAACATGTTTTCTTAAGTGTTATTATTTCTATATCTTAAATAAATCTCAGTTTTGAGCCATCCAAATATAAAAGGCTTATGTCTCTTTATTTTTTTCTTCTTGAATTGTTTTTCAAATACATAGCTCATGTCTAAATAATTTTTTTTAAAACCCTGGGGTGAGGGATTCTGGGTAGAAAGCTCTGGTCCTTTCCTACAGCTTCCTCAACTATTGAAGATGGTTGCCTAGAACCAGAGCTTAGAACTCTCTGCTGAGGACTTCTGCTATTGAAAAGGAAGCTCCAGGTGGAAGCTTCTGTCCCCAGGGTACAGCTCCAATAGTGAGAGGATCTGGGG